ACACAGTACCCAGCTTGCTTCTAATAATAATAATAATAACAATAATAATTTATTCTCAAATAACAAACATGTTACAAGAGACATGCCAATTTACAGGCAAGATCAAAATGTTAAGATTAGCAACATACTTATTTTAAAACGGTATACAGTTACTGAAACATTTCAAAAGATTCATTGTATTCTTAAAGATGGAATGTACAATGCGAATAGTTGGCGCAAGTTACGAAGGTTGCGTTAGACAATCATCTTATGGACTGAGAAACGATTCATGGTAGAGATAGGTTTTCATATAACAAGCGAAGGTTCAAAAATGGGCTCTATTTATCACTTCTGAACTAGCTAAGTAAGATAGGTAACAAGGTAAATAGAGTGCATACCAGCCTAAACATCGCTGGTTATACAGGGCACTGTCTTAGTTCTGTTCGTGTTTGTGAAATTTAATTATAACCTGCAAGATAAAATTAGCTCACTGGCACTAACATATGCAGATGATGCAAAGCTCTAGGTGTTTATTAGAAACAAAGAGGTATATTTTGAGTTTCAACATGGCCTTACAACAATGGAGAGATGAGCAGTGATTTACAGCTTGAAACGTCACGTCAAGAACATCCCACTCAAAATTAACAACTCACATCCTTAACGGGAATCCACTCCTAAATGTATGTTCAAAGAAGGGTTTCGATCTAATAACGCAACACAACTTCTGACAACAGGGGATTTAGCCAAGACCAAAGCAGCCCTTCACTTTATGCGAGGAAAACTGGACTCAATGATCCTACAGTTGTTCTTCATTCTCTTTAAAACATACATACGGCCACAGCTTGAAGTTCACAATGTCGTCACTCCCTCTCTCTTAAAAGTGACATTAAGCTCCTGAATCGAGTACAGAGAAGAGCAACTAAATGGACAATGGGGTTAAAAAATTAACCACACGAAGATGGAATCCAGGATTCGGCATCATTCCTACCGAGTTATTTGAGAATCAGAGGTGATCTGATAATGGCATACAATAATTTAAGTACTCTAAATCATCCCAAGACGAGCACCTTGTCAGAAAATCACCATACAGCCTTGAAGTAATCCTTAAAAATTGGAAATCAATGAGCGGATATCCAGGACAATGCCTACTTCTCAATAAAAGTTATTCCAACTTGGAATTTCATCTCAACTGAAGTGACTATAGCCCCCTCAGTGTATGACTTCAAGAAGAAACTTGATGAACACACTCACATATGGATTGCCGTTTCCCACTTTAACCATATGGGCCTGCTGAATGCCTCGAAACTTGATAGTTGTTATCGTTATCATTTCCTTAGACCATCAGCTTTTCCCTTCTAGCTCATTATCTCTGTTTCCTCTTCTTTGCTTATGTTTCCGTTCTCTCCAACAAATTTCACTTATCAATCTATTTAGTTGATCCTTAAATCTTTTGAGCAGCATTAAAACTTTCTCATTATTGTTCCTGATGTTTGTAATGAGGCGAGTCGCGGTAGACTAAAATCACCACTACAGTCCAATCACGTTCTTGTCACCGAATATAATAAATCCGCGAACGAAGGACAGAGAAGAACAGTAAATCCATACAAGGGAATATATTTGCTGATGATTTTGTGGTATTGAAGTGTTAGGATATAAAAATATCCACAGAACTATTCTGCTAAGTCTTATTCTATCATTAAACGTAAAATCGTATGTTTTCACTTTTTCAGATGTTTCGCATACTTCACATCTCGTTTCCTATAGGTCAATATTTACGGTCGTCCTGACTGCATATATATGAATTGTATGTAAAGTTCTAAGCTGTATTCTTACCTACAAACACTTTTCACCATGTGGTTTTGAGTTCTAATATTTTGTGGATATGGGAAACAGAATTTGCGGTCGTACTGGAATATTTGAGGTTGGCCACTCGGTAGAATTTTGAGTAGCCACATAGCGGACAGCAGTATTGGGCGACGGGGATTTGACGAACAAGTTGGTGACTAACTATGGATCCAGCCAAATTAGAAAAATTGTTGGAACTAGGGCTGAAGCTCATGGAGACGCTTACTCAGGCGAACACCTCTTCTCCAGTCTCATCTATACCGACAATCCTTCAGTCAGTCGATGGTATCACCAGTGGTATTTGAGAGTTTCTTCATGATCTTGATGCCAACATTACATTTGATACCTGGTTCAGGAGTTTTTAAGACCTTTTCAAAGTTGACCTTTTTGACAGAGATGATGCTTGGAAGGTGCGCTTTCTCCCTCGGAAACTTGTTCCGTCGGAGATGGACAAGTATTGCAACCCCATTCTATCGCAGAACCCACGGGACCGTTCCTTCGATGCCACTATTCAATCCGTCCGCCAAATTTTTGGCGATTATCACTCACTTTTCAATACTCACCATCGCTGCTTAAAACTGGTTATTAGTGATTCTGACGACTTCTTAACCTATGTCGGCATTGTCAAACGTGGGTGCGAACGGTTCAAGCTCAGATTTCCCAATGACGACCAATTCAAGTCCCTCGTATTCAAATGCAGTTTTCAATTATCCGAATTCCCCGACATAAGAACTCGGTTGCTAAATCGCCTTCAACAAGTACCAACGAATTATCAACCGGCAGTGTGACACCACTTTGGTTCGATCTGGGGGCCAGGGCGGTTGTCCAGAATCGGAACAAATTTTCGAGATCAACAACCTTTGATCTTTCGAAAGCCAGTGCTGTCCCTGCCATTCGTCATCTCACACCGGCACTATGGAGCCTGGCATTATATGAAGTTTCGTTCTGTTGGTCGCAAAACGGTTTTTGCCAATCGACCAAATTCAATGGACGACGAAATTCACAGATGCAGCGTCGTTTTCCCAAAAAGAAAGTTGCCTCATCAAGGAGTTTAGCAGCAAATTTCTGACCCACTCAATCAATGGTCAGACAGTTTGGTTGCGATTGGTTACTGCATTGGATACCACTATTCTGTTGGAAAAGGCTTAGCGAACCTTGGGCTAGCCACCCATGAAAACAACTTCTCAGTGACTGCGGGGATCATCTTCACCTTCATGGTGAACTCAGTTGATGCATTACGTTCAGAGGTCTAACCTTGAATGGAACATGCTATATCACCAAGTCTACTCTCAACATTCTGGGGTTAGATTGACTCGAAGAACTTGGTCTCGCCGATCTTTCCATTTTCACTATTCGCAGTCATGTACAGACTCCAGCCACAATCTCAATGGACGAGGGCTCCAGTGCTAAACTATTGGTGAATCCATACGGGCGATGCCTGTAACTGCTGAAGATGTTCGGGAAGCTACCAGAGACGACCTGAGAATCTAAGAAGCGATCACATATATTCAGTTAAACAGCTCATTGGTTGTTAAAGATTTTCTGATGTTCCAACCCTAAGTCCCAAGATGCTACGCCAGTTTCACTCTGTACGCCCAGGGATAAACCGTATGGAACACATTGCTCAGATCCATGCATATTGGTCGAACGTGAATAAGCAGGTTGTCCACTTTGTCAGAGGATTTACACATTGTCAAACCTCTATGAAGAATCCTCCCAAGTTTCCACTAGTACTCTGGCCAAAGCCAGCACATCACTTTGCCTGACCCCTAGATGGTGCCACAAATCTGATACTGGTTGACTCCTTCTCCAAATGGCCGATTGCGCCCCTCCTAAAACTCGAACCATCAAACTCCTTAATCAGATCTACATTCACCATGGTCCTCTAGAAACAGTAGTAACAGACAGTGGTTTGCAGCTCACACCCAACAAATTCCAAGAATCTTGTCTGCGAAACTCAATCAACTATGTTCGTTCTCCGCCATGTTACCTGCAATCTAACGGACAAGCTCAAAGTCTCGTTGACACATTTAAACCAGCCATGCTCAAAACACGAGGGGGGAACACATATAATATCGTACAACGATTTCTACTTGTGTACCGGATGACTCCACATGAATTACTACCAAACTTCAAATCCCCTACTGAGATGCATATGGGATGAGAACCACGATGAAACCCAAGAGATTGGCCAAGTAAACCCCTCATAGTCAGACTGCTTGAATTCCTCACGAAGTTGGTGCGAAAGTGTCTGGGTTTGACTACAGACACGGATGTGATAGGTGGATAGAGGTTGAAGTCACAAAGAAACATTGGAAAGTCATGTATGATATCTGGACCAGGCACCATAATAAGCCAAGGCCAAGGAAAGCTAAAGAAAAAGGTGAGATTACGAAATGGCTTCAACTCGATCTGCTGTTGATTACCTTTCAACTTTCGCCAATACCTGCACCAGAGACTACTTAGTCGTCTACTCAAGCAGAACATCCTTCGTATTCAGGGTTGTTACCTCGAAGGTAGTCGAAAAACAAACGGAGACAACCAAGGAAATTTCAAGTAAGACCTCGGTTGTGCCACTATTAAAGTTTTCAAAGGGAGGTTTTAGGATGCTCATCTGACCGTTTTGTGTTCTGGTATATTGGGGATTTGGGAGACGGAATTTGTGGTATTACTAGAATATATGAGGGTTGCCAATCGGTAAAGTTTCGATTAGCCACATCGCGGACCACAATACGAAGGCCTACCGAAATCGTGCCAGAAAAGAGGAGCGAAGTTACAGAAAACAGTGGAGCCAAAAGTGGCAAAAACACAAATGAAAAGTTTGCGCGTATTAAGTATTAACAAACAAAAAGGTTCATTAAAGCAATCACTGGTACAATCGGTCATAATAATGAATGATTCTATTTAACCAATCGTGTTTCCTCCGCAAAAGTGCAGTTACTACACGTTGCAACTAACTGGTCTGTGACCTGAGGAGTCGTTGGCTGCTGGTATTCGAAAATCCTTCTGCCCAGAGACAAACACAGCCAATGAAGTCACAGAACATAAAAATTAGTGAAATCAAGTGACCACCATGCCGTCCATTGTACATTGCCAAACGCCTGGAACTGTACTGAAAGAAGAAGAAGCGAGAGCAATTAAATTCAGCGGTTTATACTAGCTCGTTAAAAAGATATTGGATATTGAAATTGTTTAAACGCTTTTTAACTGCAATCTGCGCTGTGATCAAGGTTAACCTGGGCGTGACTTGCTGAGACGTGCTTCAGCTTGTTTAATCGTGTATCTGTATATTAGACTGGGATTATTACCTTGTAGAATCTCCCAAAATGGATGTTGATAAAGAGCGCATGGAGAAGCTGGAGAAATTCAAGGGGATGAGTGACCAGGTACGCATCGGTGGCAAAGGAACGGCCCGCCGAAAGAAAAAAGTAGTTCACAAGAATGCTGCCGCTGATGACAAGAAACTTCAAAGCTCACTGAAAAAACTAAATCTCAATAATATTCCTACTATAGAGGAGGTATTATGCTACTAATGACTGTTCAATGTTAGGTCAATATGTATAAACCGGATGGGACTATGATTCACTTCAAGAATCCGAAAGTTCAGGTAGCCCCACAAGCCAATGTGTTCGCAGTAACTGGACAAGCTGAATATAAAAGTATTTCTCGTGTTTTGCTTATGAATTTTCAGCACTAAATGATTTGTTCCCAAATATGCTTAATCAATGGGAAACAGCAAAGTTGCGATTGGCTAAAATGAATGGTTAGTACACTTTTTGTTTCAGAATATTTTGGTACGTTTATAATATTTCACTGTATTTTGTCCAGAATCTCAGACTAACCATATTTGTAGTACAACAGGATTACGGTCAGTCAGTCGATAGCGTAAAGCAGCTGACCGAGGGTAATAGTCCATGTCTGCTAGCGTTTCCGTTCAGGGGATTATTATTACCAAGCCTACTGTTACCAAAGACATTGAAAACCACAATTATTAGGGTATAGACAAATAGCTCAAAGCAGTCTTGTCAGGCTACATCGGAATTGGTTAAAGTTTACTGTCAACTGAATGATATCACATCAAGAGCATTCTAAAAACAATAGCAACCGACTAGTTTTTATTTCCGATGTATGGTTGCCCTATCCTAGATTCTGTATTCAAATCTTAGTGGTAACAAATCGGGTATGCAAAATTCTTTTTGAGAGGTTGTATCAGTCATAAAACCGTGTTTGCACAGAATTTGTGTATGCGTTGCTCACCCCGATTCAGCTACCAACCCTTATTGCTACTGACCGTTTTGCCTGTACCCCTGGGTTGTTTTTGCAAATAGCAATTCATCGACTTATTATCTTGCGGTACACGGTATTCTAATATGGATCTGTTAAGTTGCAATGTCCATTGATGTTAGTAAGCCTTAGATTTATGCCTGCACTTGTTGAGAGATGTGAGCTTTGGATTTTTGTTCAATTCTATCCTATGCT